GATAAGGATCGAAGAATTGGCCTGGTCATGAATCGCGATACTACATTATTGGCCAGAGATATAGAAGCAGAAGGCAAAAATTTTGATGTATCATCCTTGAAAAGGCCTAGGTATGACCAGCAATATTCCAATTGGGCAGATATTTCATGGTATGATGGCAGAGAAGTATGTTTTAACTGGAATAAAAGATCATGTTCAGGAGAGAAGATTTGTGGCAGGGTGCATGCATGCTTGATTTGCAGAAAGCTAGGCCACAATAAAAAGAGTTGTTATCAAAGAAATTCGAGAAATAAACAAACTAGCAACGCAAAAGATGAATCATGATATAGCAGATAAAAAAAAAAAGAAAAGGTGAAAAAGGTGAAAAAAGCAGTAATATTGGTCCGGGTACTATTTAGGGTAGGAAAGGTGACCTGTGATTTGACATAAAATCTATAATAATATATGATTAGCAGTAATATTAATAATAAAGTACAATATATTGAGTTAATCTTTTAAAAATATAATGAATAAAAGATGAGTATTGAAAGCGTGAATATAATACTAATGTAAGTCTGTATGTTGACAATTGCTACAGGGTATAATTTCAATTCGGCCATCAGGCACACGTCACGGTTCAAGGCTTCAAGGGCACTAACTGCATGTATGGAGCCATGCCTACAGTCAGTAATCCAATCTGTTGAGACTATTCCCCCTAAAAGTAACACACTGTCACCTGATGAAATTAAAATAATTGCACAGCTAGACACTAAGTTCTTTAATGTTACTACACCAATCAATAAACTAGTATTTGAATATCTTACCCAAAATCACCCTAATCGTGCATTTATTCAGTACCTTAAAAATAGTCTAGATCAGGGTTTTTGGTTTAATTTTACGGGTAAACGTAAGGTGTTATACAAGATAACCTAAAATCTATAGATGTAAATCCGGCAGCATTTACAGACTATATAAACAAAGAACTAGGAGTAGGTCAGATATGCAGGCCATTTCCTTTATCTAAACCTCCATGCACATTATTTCAAATTAACCTATGCGGGTTGGTCAAGAAGAAGGATACCAATTCCAAAGCTTATTGGGTGATATCTCATTTATCTGCTCCAACAGGAACAAGTATAAATGATGGGATAGATATAACAGAATTTGCGACCAAATATGAAAATATGAATTATGCAGTTGGATGGATAATGAATTATGGTAAAGGTTGTTATTTATCGAAGATAGATATTCAAGATGCCTATCGTATTTTGCCCGTTCACCCAGTGGACCAAGTTTTTCAAGGAATACAGTATAAAGGGAACTTATACTTTGACAAAGCTCTGGCATTTGGAAACAGGGCTTCTGGCGACATATTTTGTCATTTCGCAGATGTAATCACGTGGATTGCTATACAGCAGGGGATTAAGTCTATTATACATTATGTAGATGATTTTTTGATTATATCTCAAGCAAATGCGAGACAAGAATTAGACCAATTTTTCTGTATACTATCTATTATAAACATTCTATGCAAGCAGTCAAAATTATTGCCTTCTGCTTCTATATCTCTGGCCAATAATGTAGTATCGCGATTCATGACCAGGCCAATTCTTCGATCCTTATC